GTAAACAAAAATCTTAAAAAAAAAAAAAGTGGTATCCCAAGCCTTGCACTTTATGAGAGCTTTATACTTAATAAGGCAGCAGCCCCCTATATTTTCATGGCATGCGTCTCTCCCTTTAGTCACATCTGTATCTTCCCCAAGGTACCTAAAGCACCTGCTGCATCCTGGCCTCCAGGTTCTATTAGCCTGATGTCATCCATATAATGGGCCAGCATCACGTCCTGTGGAATAGGCAGAAAGCCAAGCTCGGACACAACTGTGGCACGGAGGCAGAGTCCGTGTAATCCCAAAGCCAAACAGAGAAGGTGAGCAGCTGTGCCTGCCGGGTGAAAGCGAAGTACCAACTAATGCTTTCTCCTTATTTGAATGGACACAGTTACCACCCATAGCTGCACACCAGACATTAGGAACTGGGCTTGTTTGCTCTAGTGAAGAGACCACATCTGGAGAGGCGGATACAATTGGAGTCTCTACCTAATTAAATCTATAGTAATACTGTATACTTCTTTGAGTTTATCTGATAGCTGCATAGATAAAACAGATTTGTTAAAAAGGGCTATGAAAGGGGGCGCCTGGGTGGCTCAGTTGGTTAAGCGACTGCCTTCGGCTCAGGTCATGATCCTGGAGTCCCGGGATCGAGTCCCGCATCGGGCTCCCTGCTCGGCAGGGAGTCTGCTTCTCCCTCTGACCCTCCTCCCTCTCATGCTCTCTGTCTCTCATTCTCTCTGTCTCAAATAAATAAATAAAATCTTTTAAATAAATAAATAAATTAATTAATTAAAAAAAAAGGGCTATGAAAGGAACCATTCCCAAATAACCATAACCACAATCAAATCTTTTTCGATTGCATACGCATTTCTGAGAATCTTCCCGAACGTGTCATTGCTTCTGGTTAGCCCTCACAATGGGGAGGAGAAGCTCGAGAGCTGGGCTCTCCAATACCGTAGCACTTGACACGTGGTTAGTCCATAATAAGATGTTCTGTAAGTGTAGCTTAGTACAAAAATAAGTGTATTAATAAGCTGTGTATTGCTTTCATGTTGAAATGATACTATTTTGGATATAGTGGGTTAAATAAAAAATACTACTGAATTAATGTTACCTGTTTCTTTTTACCTTTGTAAAATATGGCCACTAGAGAACTTAAAATTAGATGTGTGCTCACATTATATCTCTATTGGACAGTACTCCTTGGAGGCTTAATTTGCTTCTCTTACCACAATAGCCCTCATGACAGGCGTCAGGAAGCAAAGTTGGAAATTATGCTCATTGCCAAATTGATCTGTTCTAGCTACACTCAACCACAAGATAGGTGTGGGGTTTCACAGGGCCCCATGTGAAGCTGATTAGAATTAAAATATTTATCATCTGATCATGATAAGGCTGCCACTCACTGGTAATCCACAGAGGCATCCTAGTTTGCCATGATTTCAAAGCCAGAGGTTTGGAAATTTTCTTTCCCTCAGTATACATTGACGCTGATGAATAGCTGTCTCTTCGGAGAAGATGGGGAGAAAGAGGCACAGTATAAACCTGACATGTTATCATAGAGGCTTTTGTCAGGGATATGCACCCTTCCTTTCATTTAAGAGGCTCAGAGTTTCTGAAATAAATCAGGCCTGTGAACTGAGTGAGGACATGGGGTTTTCTATTGTAGTGGTTCAAGTACTGAATCACCAATGATAAATGCATTCCCCAATCCCGGTCTTCCTAAGTCTACTCCTTCCTTGCCATTGTCCCAGAAATTTCTGACTTTCAGGCTTCATTTGGTGGGGTCCACCTCTGAGGTAGTTTCCAGCCAGCCAGTTGAGCAAGACAATCAGACGTACTCCCAGCTGTTGGAGCTAGTAGTTTCATCCAGAATCTCTGGCAAGAATACGGTCTCGAAAAATGCAGCCTAATCTTTAGTCATGTCCCTCTCTCTTTGGTCAAGCCCTTAATCTCACACACATTCACCAGGGTTTTGCTGATAAAAATTAGCAAAGATTTAAAAATTCCTTTGATGTCTTAGCCATCTTCCTGGTTCTGGGCCCCTGGGGACATACTAGGATATAATTCTAGTTATAAAGTCTGGAGATAATCAGAGATGATAAGGGTAGGGCCTGAAGAAACTGGCTCCCCCTTGCAGAGTAAGTCCCGGGAGAAGATCATTGCGGGATCCCCACTGGACAAGAAGGAAGAGAAGCTGCGTCTGCCGGCAAGAGGCTCTGTGGGATTCGGGATACTCTGAAGCACACAAATCCCCCCAAATCAATTCCTGGGGACCTACTTCTTTCTGGTCAGTGCCATAACTTTTGCAATAGACCTGATGAAGCTATGGATTCAGCTAAGGTTTTAATTTAACAAGCTTCAAAATCAAATTTTGAATATTAGGTGGCAGCAGGGAAAGCCGAGCTGTGAGTAGGAGACTTGAACAGGGAAATAAAGTTAATAGCACCAAGAGCCCGTCATATGCAGGAACAAATTGGAGAGTGGTGTCCTTGAGAAGTCAGGTGAGGGTAGGAAGTCAGATGCAGTGGGCTGTCATCCTGACATGGATTTTACTTAGGTGTCAGCCTCCTGGGACTTTGGGAAGTCAGACCCTCATGAAGGCAGACTTAGGGTCGGTATGGAACAGAAAGGATTCCCAACTGTAGAAAGCGAGCAGGTTGTAGGTGGAACATTCCCATCTGACCTGTGCAAAGGGAAAAAAGAAGTTTCTAGCCACGCTGTGGTCATAAAGGTAGGGATGGTTTCCATAAACAAACAGAAATCCTCTTAGGTTAGAGCAACAACTTTCCTTCTGGTCTCTGCCTTCAGGGTCATTACCACTCTTTTATCTCCATGTAGCAACCAGAGAAATCTAACACACAAAACATTCAATGGCTCCCTACTGCCTTCAGGATAAAGCTTAAATTCTTCATCTAGGATTCTTTATCTTTAAATTTAAATTCTTTATCTAGGATTTCAAGGCTTAGCATGCTCCTGCCCTGTCGTTCCATCCATCTTCATCTCATGGTCCTCACCTCCATCCCTACCCCTACTCTCAACCCTATTGCTTCCCAGTGACCCTGAACTTCATCCAGGACTCTGTCATGAAGCAAGAGAAATGTTCTTTAAAAGCCTACAGCCTTCTAACGGGGTGGATTCTATCAAAAGAAAGACCACAATCACAAGGTTTTGCTAGTCCTTTTTATTTCTAAGGGAGAAATTGTTCCTTTTGTTCAACTGAGCATCTTGATGGATTTGGAGCTGAACAGATGGGCCTGGAGCTAAGTTTGCAATCTGTAGCTAATCTGCCCTGTGTCAAGAGTAAGACGAATGTGGCTAGGAACAAAAACAAGGATGGGGAGCTGAGAAGGTAAAGAAAGGACACCACTATGTGTGTGTGTGAGATAGAGAGAGAGAGAGAGAGAGAGAGAGAGAGAGACAGGCAGAAAGAGAGAGAGATTGAGGGGATACTACTATTACCATTAAGAAATCCTCAGTGGAAGGATGGGCAAAGGACTTTGCAGGTCTGAGGAGCAATTTGAAGTTGTTTTTCATGCACTGTGGCATGGTACCACAGCTCGCGACTTGGTAAACCTCAACAAAGCCTGAAACCATTTTTACGTCTCCATTTTCTTTCACATCCCTACTCCTAGGTTTAGAGATGTTAGAATTTTAGCCAAGGCTATTGAACTTTCTTTCCCCTATAAAAAGTCTTAACTGATTCAAAAATTTTTCATTATTCCATGCCACACTAGCATCATCCATTCAGATCAATACTAACACAAGGTTCCTTATTTTTTTTTTTAAGATTTTATTTTATTTATTTGAGAGAGCAAGAATGAGAGAGAGAGAGAGCTTGAGAAGGGTAGGCTCAGAGGGAGAAGCAGACTCCCCGCTGAGCAGGGAGCCCGATGCGGGACTCGATCCCGGGACTCCAGGATCATGACCTGAGCCGAAGGCAGTTGCTTAACCAACTGAGCCACCCAGGCGCCCACAAGGTTCCTTATTTACCACAGTTTCCTTGAATTCTTTCAATTCTCCCATGCAGAGATTTCGGATTTATTTTCTTGAGTATTTCCTTGACTAATTTCTTCAGACAGAGAACATGGCTGGTGTACTTTCTGAGGCCCTCCGTGTCCAAAAAATGCCTTCTTTTTTTTGCCCTCCTATAATAATGTTTTGACTGGATGTGAGCTTTTCTGATCATAATCCACTACCCCCCCCCCCCCCCCCCCCAGCCTGTAGATATCATTCTTGTGCCTCCCAAGAGCCTCTGGTATTGCTAATAGTCCAATCCTGGCCTCACTCTCTTTCCTTTGTCAGTAACTTGCTCTTTCTGGCTGATGAGGGTAAAATTCATCCTTGAAGCTCAGACCTTTCACCAGCATGCTTCTTTGTGGGTGTGTCTTTTCAATAAACCCACCTGGGCCCTTTAAATAAGAATCATGTCTTCAGGTTTCTTCTCTCGTCCCCTTTTCCCTGGGCCTCCTACTGTTAGACTACTAAGTCTTCACCCGACTGGTCCTTTACCTTTTGGATCCGTGCATTTTCGCATTTAGAATTGCTTTGTTTTGTTTTGTTTGGCGCTGGGTTATTGAGACACCCTCCCACCCTCAAACACTAATTGGTTTTTAGACGGAATCACCCTATTTCTACATCGAAATTCTAAATTTAGAAATCTTGCCTTTTAGTTCCATAATTTCTTTTTTTTTTTTAAAGATTTTATTTATTTGAGAGCGAGAATGAGAGAGAGAGAGAGAGAGCATGAGAGGGGGAGGGTCAGAGGGAGAAGCAGACTCCCTGCCGAGCAGGGAGCCCGATGTGGGACTCGATCCCGGGACTCCAGGATCATGACCTGAGCCGAAGGCAGTCGCTTAACCAACTGAGCCACCCAGGCGCCCCTAGTTCCATAATTTCATTTGTTATGCTCTAATTCCATCTTCTTGAAAGTTCTCATTATGTTTTCCCACTCATTATGTTTTTAAATTGAATTCCCCTCTGTTTCTCCCATTAATTCTGCCTCCACTTACCCACATCTTCTGGCCACTTGGTCTCTTTCCTGCAAATGACATGTTCTCTTCGGTTGCAACTTCTTTTGCCTGATAATTTGGTAAGTCAGCTGTGGAATCCCTCCAGCAGTGGTGGGCTGACTGCCACTGTAATATGGGCCAGCCGGAACAGGGACAGGAAGCCTGACATTTCTGTTGAGGCTTTGGGGGTGGGGTCTCTGTTCTCAGATGGAAGAAAGCTCAATCTTCTTTCTAGCACCATCAGTGGAATGCACCGGTGTCTCCCAGACAAGATCACGGCAAGGACGTACGGCAGCCAGATTTGGACTCGTGCCTAGATTTCAAGCAACGAGCTCCTAGCTGTGTCTGGACTCTTTATTCTGTGGCTGAGTGGTCCTAGATGGGAGGGACTGAGATCAGAAGTGACTATAACAGGGGCACCTGGGTGACTCAGTCGTTAGGCGTCTGCCTTCGGCTCAGGTCATGATCCCAAGGTCCTGGGATCGAGCCCCGCATGGGGCTCCTTGCTTTGCGGGAGGCCTGCTTCTCCTTCTCCCGCTCACCCTGCTTATGTTCCCTCTCTCGCTGTCTCTCTCTGTCAAATAAATAAATAAAATCTTTAAAAAAAAAAGTGACTATAACAGGTGGTCATTTCCCCAGAACTCCCTGGGACGGCAGGTGCTGCTCCCAGCAACTTTGGCTCAGTGTCTTGAGACACAGCAATGGCAGGTACTCTTCCACACATTTCCCCCCTTGGGCTAATCCATGAAAACAAAGTAAAAATTTTAAGTTCCAGCTACCCTGGTAACAAAGTTCAAAATTAGAGTTTCTAAGAGAAAAATATTTGAAAACTTTGTTAACTTTTCAATGTGTTTTCCTCTGCGTCTAAGTTCCCACTTACCCGGCCTCTTGTTTGCCAGTCCACATCTGCCATTCTGTATGATCTGCCTCGTAGATTCCTGGGTGTTATGGCAACCTCTGGTGATTACACTTGCATGGGGCCACTATTTGGTTCCTGATCACCATTCCCCCATGTGGCGGGGGAGGTTCCCCCCACACCAAGCAATGCTCAGGACACCAGCTGGGTGTCCCAGAGTTTAGCTCCATTGTGACACTATCTACCCAGAGATAGCATTAGATCTCACAGGGTAAGGTTTCAGTTCTACAGGACCGTTCCCCAACCTACCCCCTGCCGCTTCCGAAGCTGGTCCAGGTTGTCACCTCAGCTTCTGACCAACTGGCTATAGATTGGAGTTTCCAACCACCCCGGCCTTGAGTTCCATTATTCTGCCAGAGCGGCTCACAGAACTCACAGAAACATCTCACTGACTAGATTACCAGTTTACTAAAGGGAGTAACTCAGGAACAGCCAGATGGAAAAGATATAGAGGCCATGGCAGGAGGAAAAGCTTGGAGCTTTCATGCTCTCTCCAGGCACGTGGATCTCCCCCAAATCTCCAGGATGGTGTTCACCATCCTAGAAGTTCTCTGAGCCCCATCCTTTGGGTTTTCATGGAGGCTTCATTATATAGGTACAATTAATTAATCGGCCATTGGAGATAGATTCAACCTCCAGGTGCTCTCCCTTCCCTGAAAGTTCCAACCCTCCAATCACATTTGGTTCTCCCAGCGACCAGCCCCAACCCTAGCTGCAGTCGGAGAGGCACCTCATTAACATAACAAAAGGCCTCTCTTCATGTAGGAGATTATAAGGGTTTTAGGAGCTCTGTGCCAGAAAGGGGGGTGAAGATCAAATATATGTTTATTATTTTTTTTAAAGTAGGCTCCACGCCCAGCAAAGCCCAACTTGGGGCTCTAACTCACGACCCTGAGATCGAGACCTGAGCTGAGACCAAGAGCAGGCGCTCAATCAACTGAGCCACCCAGGCGCCCCTGTTTCTTATTATAAATCAAAGTATCTCAGCCACTTCACTTAGAGATCAAAAAAAATATGACCTAGGGGCTGAGCCTCAACTTTCCTGCCCACAAGGCCACCACCTTCATTCCACAGTCCTTGACTTGTGTGAAATGCATCCCCCTGGTAATATAGCTCTACTGAAATGTTCCTTCAAGTGTCCCAGAAAGTGCCTGCATCAGAATCTAAGGAAAGCTTATAAAGGTATGGGGTTTTTGGCTTTAGGACATGGGAGTGGAGCACTGCAGTTGGCATTTAAAATAACTCTCATATGAGATGCCTGGGTGGCTCAGTCGGTTAAGTGTCTGTCTGCCTTTGGCTCGAATCATGATCCCAGGATCCTGGGATCGAGTCCCGCACAGGGCTCCTTGCTCAGCGGGGAGCCTGCTTCTCCCTCTGCCTGCCACTCCCCCCGTTTGTGATCTCTCTGACAAATAAATCTTTAAAAAAAAAATAATTCTGGGCGCCTGGGTGGCTCAGTTGGTTAAGCGACTGCCTTCGGCTCAGGTCATGATCCTGGAGTCCCGGGATCGAGTCCCGCATCGGGCTCCCTGCTCGGCGGGGAGTCTGCTTCTCCCTCTGACCCTCCCCCCTCTCATGTGCTCTATGTCTCTCTCATTCTCTCTGTCTCAAATAAATAAATAAAATCTTAAAAAAATAAGTAAAAAAAAAATAATTCTTAATACTCGTTTGGAAACCATGAAAGCTACAAAGCCATGCGGAAGAAAAGTCCCCTTCAGATGGCCATGTCTAGAGACCTCGGCCTTCATGCTAATTGCTGTCAGTGCCCAGAGTCAGAGAGCACCCAGGAAACTCTGAATTATACAGAAAATTGTCCTATAAAGGAGTAATAGCTGGAAATATTCCAGCCATTCCAGCCAAGTGTCACGGGTGCACCTCATTCCACACAGGTGTTGTAATGCTCTGCTGTGAACACCAGGTTCTCGGCCTTTAGATTCTGTGACCATTGTTGTCGGATTGCGGGTCTGTGCGGTGGGGTCTTGCGGTGTTGCCAGGCCTTGCAGCTCAGGCCACTGGCTCTGACATTCTGAACAGTATTACATGGGCTACAGTAGCACTATTGAGAATAGTTTAAATGAATCAGATTGATTTTCATCTTGAAGGCTAGAATATTTACTCTGAACCACCAAGGGCCGAGGGGTCAGTTGCCCTACAAAAGATCATGCAATTCTCTCCATCAGATTGTGAACAATTCTTTCCCTCAAGCCTTGGAGGAAGAAGAGCTACTTTGTCGACGGTGTAACTAAGCTTTCTTTTTCACTTAGTGCCTCGAGATCCTTATCGTCACGCACAAGGTTTTACTGAGAACGTGGCTTTTCAAATGCAGTCCTCCTTTCAATTCTCCCACTGACCCTGAGAGGTCGATCACGTCGGCGTCCACTGAGGCAGAGAGAGTGTGTATAGGAAGCAAATGGTGACGCTGGAAAGCGGACCCGAGCAGGCTGGCTCCACAGACTGCATTCCTATCATGCGATTAGCTATAGGTCTCAGATTAGTGACAAAGGCATGCTTATCTTTGTTCGTTCGTTCATTCCAGAGAGTGGACTTTGTATCAGGTCCTAAGCCAGGAGCTTGGGACACCAAGTCAAGTACATTACTGACCCTCCCTGTCCTTGGTATTTCCAATTTAATGATGAACACAAACAACTATAGGACCAATGAAAATAACTAGTATTAGGTATTAGGTACTAGGTACTAGGTGCTAGGGCGGACGTGCAGGGCGAGGCTGTGGAGGCAGACACAGGGTCCATAAGCCGTGCAGGTAAGTCACGGAGGAACTGGCACCTGAGTGGAGTCCCAAAGGCAATGTGGAGGCTGGAGGAACGGAGTCGGAGGAAGTAACAGGCACAGAGGCGCAGAGCGGGCAAGAGCAGACATCAGGTAAACGGCAGGAAGCTTACAGTGAGAGTTCAGTGTGAGTGGGTTAGGCAGAACAGCAAGAGGGGAGGTGTGGGCAAGGATGTCACCTAAACTGGCCTTTCTGCCATGAGTAAGCCTTGGGCTTTATCCTGAAGGCAACATCAAGCCCTTCAAGTGTTTTAAGACTAGGAGCAATGGAGGCCAGGTTTTCTTAGAGGATACTGGCGGCCTGGGGAGGGATGGCCTTGCCTGCAACTCTGCTCTCAGACCTGAGGTGCAAGTTCAATCCGCACAGGGGCTGCAAACCTCCTGCCCAGCAGCACACGCAGCTAGTAGGAGTCCGCAGAGAATTACGAAAATGCTGTGTGCATCTCTGTGGTGCAAATAACCAAAACGGACTTTAAAAGACATAGAAAATGTGAACTGACTCGTACCAATGAAATAAACTGCAAAAGGTTATTGAAGTGCCAGGCCCATATAGTTTTATGGATAAATGCTTTCAAACTTTCATGGAACAGATCATTCCTGGCTAAATAAGTAATTTCTGGAGCACAGGGGGGAAAAAAAACCCAACTGACTTTGCAGTTAGCATAACCTCACTCTGAAGCCTAGAAAATATTTCATTAAATACTAGCAAATAAAGTTCAGAAATGAACTTCTATCTGGTGATGTAAATTGTTTATTATGATTAAGAGACAAGACTTGGAATATACAATAAGGACGCATTAAGACCCTCACTATTCCAGTGGTTATAAATCATACATACAAAAATACTCAATTTTGCCAGTCATTTAAAAAAATCCGTATGTTGAGGGGCACCTGGGTATCCGACTCTTGATCTCAGCTCAGGTCTTGATCTCAGGGTTCTGCGTTCAAGCCCTGCATTGGGCTCTGCGCTGGGCGTGGAGCCTACTTTAAAAAAAAAAAAAACCCAAAAACTCCTTGTTTAAACAAGGAGGTACAATATTTTCATCTCTCAATTTTAGAAAGATTTTGAAACCGGCCATTCTGTGTTTGAGCAAGGATACCAAACAACGAGCAGCTCTGCGCACTTTCTCGAACCATTTCGGCAACAGGTATCAGAAGACTGGAAGGAAATAATACATTAATGGTGGTTTCACGATTTCCTTTATTTATTTTAAAAAATTCAGATATAATTAACAGACCATAAAATCTGCCTTTTAAAGTATACAATTCAGGGTTTTTTGTCTATTCACAAGGTTGTGCAACCATCACTGCTGTTTTACGGCAAAACATTTTCATCATTTCAAATTCTTTTCAGACTCTTCCTCCCCTGGGATCTTGCTCTCCAGTTAAAAGTATTCTGCCCTCACAGGCTGATGGTGAAATAGGCCTGGAAATGCCTCCAGCTTGGGAGGAGCCTGGCCCTGGACAGTGGGGGGGGGGCGCGGGGGGGCGGGCTTAGCAATCTCCCATCTGGGTCTCCAGCCAGTGGAGCCATTTCTTTCCTTTCCCAGCCACTGGAGTGGTACCATCTAAGAGGCTGAGTCAGGCTGTGAGCCAAGGCGGGAGGGGGGGGGGCCAAAGGGGCCAAAAAGGGCCAAAGCTTCTCAGGTCTGCCTGCTCAGAACAAGCAGAGCTCAGGCCTCACCCCAGAATAACTGAACCAGAATCTCCTGTGGGCAAGGGCGAGGCATCTGTATTTTTTTTTTTTTTTAAAGTTCTCTGGGTGGTTCTAACATGCAACCAACGTAGAAAAGCCCAATGTGAAGCCATAAGCCTGACTGTAGTGCAGGTAAAAAGGAAGATTTCAAAATTAACACTTGACAGAATTCTCCCAGTAATTCTGCTATGAATGGTGGAACATGTTATTTACAAAAATATAAAATAAAAAAAGGAAAGACAGTAAATAAAAATACATTATTGTTAATGTTTTGATTGTATTCAAATTTTTATTTTGAACAAAAAACTTAATACAATGATTTTAAATAATAAAATGTGGTATATTCTAGATACTTGTTGGTATTTTTGTTTTAAATTTGGACTCCTACAGTTCTGTTGTGATGCTTCCTTCAACATTTATATTATTTCTTACCATATTATCACCACTCTAAACTTGCTAAACAAAGAATCACTCTAAGTGAAGCTTCACTTTACCACAGAAAACACACATACAGAACAGTCATTTTTATATTTACAAAACACAAGAAGTCTGTCCAGCCATTTGGATTCGTTGTTACATTGCCCATACTGAGATTAGCAAAAAGCTAACTAATAAGCAAGATTTCACTTCAGCAGTGCAAAAGATGGCATCAACCAAACTTCATTAAACAAACCGACAAATTACAAATTCAGTAAAACTCAACTTGTGTAATAGAGATTAAAAAAAAAACACAAAGTGGGTCACAACTAGACTGGTTTTCACTGTGCAACTTTCCTCAGGGAACACTACTACCCATTTCACATAGAAAGGAATATGCATCAAAGCCTTTGTTCATGAAAAAAATGCCCTCCAAATTTGTCATAAGGCGCAAAAAAAAAAAAAATAATAATAATTTTTTTTTTTTGAATGAAGCAGTTTGGCCCAGAGAAAAGCTTATACATAATGTGTATACATAGTATATACACATTAATAGCTACATTACAATTGAAACCATGTTAGTCATTAGACAATTAAATGAATTGGCTCAGTGCAGTGACAATGTGTCCATTTTCTATAAATATGTAATTATTGCTGATATGCTACACATGATGCTTTGACACGGAAACTGTAGTAACTTAGACTTTAAAGCTGCCATATTGCTGGCGTCAGCCCTGCAGCAGGCGTTCATGTGGACAACATGCCATCCAATCCTGAAGAAAAAGCAAAAATTCCACTACAGAAAAAAAAAGGCTTATGCACTGTCCCTTACATTTTGCCTATTTTTTTTTAAAAAAAAAACAGTAACTAGTCCAGTTCACCACAAGTTAAGTACAACCTGACAAGCAAGTTTAGCGGCAGGATGGGGAGAAGAGTGAAAGACAGCATGCATTTACAACTAGCGCCGATCTAGTCTATTCTGTCATACAAACTGGAATACAAAAATCCAATTTAAATAAGACTAGACTAACTGTAAGAGTTAAAAAAAAAAAAAACACATACACAGTAGACTTAGTTTGATACTGATTAATTTTAAGAGGAAAACTCATCTTGTCCCCACTTAATACTCTACTGCAATTTATTTGATGGCTAGAATATTTACTTACTTAAAAAAGATATTAAATACCTGTATCATGAAATTACATTCTTTTTAACAATAAGACATACTGTGTAAGAAAATAGCTCATGTGTGAAATGTGTCTGAAATGCATTTTTCCTCACAACTATCAAAACATCCACTCACACTAAAACAAAACCACCACCACCGCCCCCCCCCCAAAAAAAAAGTTCAGGAAAGATGGGGTGGGGTCGGGTAAGGAGCAAGGAAGGAAAGGTTTACCAGCACAGTGATTAACAATGGTTCAAGACAGAACCAACAGGAGTTGGTCAAAAGGATGCCTTCAATACATGGCTACAATTAAAAACCCAACTCAACCACTTTTGGTTCATTGCAGTGAGACAAAAAAAATCTCTCTCACAGATTCATATAAATACTAGACTCCAGCTCTTTTATTATTATTTTTAAAGTTTTCCCATTTGTTTTTGCAAGGCCTAGCTACCTTATTACAATTTATATTTGCTCTGCAACAACTACAAGAGGTAGGCATAGAGCATGAAAAAGTTTCTTAGTTAGTACCCCACTGTGGGCTGTCCACCACATAATACCTTTCACTTTAGACACGTAAAGGGATTACTTTCTAGCCTTTCCTAAACCCCAAAACAAAGCTGCTGCCATCCCATGAATGTTCTAAAAGAGTGTACTCACAAATAAGAAACTTTCTCTACTGAAGGATACTGTCATAGTGTTTGTTGCAGAGCATTCATATATTTTATATATATATATTTATTTATTTTTAAAAAATAAACAAACAACAACAAAAACCAAACCCAGGTTCCTAGAACCAATTCTCTTGATTCACTACTTCCACAAAATAAAGTGTACCATTTGGCCAAGACTACAGATGTGTTTTTTTTTTTCTTCACAGATGCAAGTGCCATGCAAAATAAATTAAAGAACAGGTATCAAACATACATGTGATAAAACTACTGAAGGTAGATCTTTAAAAGCATTTATATAAACATAATTTATAATACTTCTCTTTTTTTCCTTTATGTACAGTCACAAAGCTGTCGTTATACATCTAGAATTTCCTCCGCTGTGCCTCCACAGCGCAATCTGTAGCGACCAGTTCTCCAGCTTATGGTAGGGTCCCATAATGCCGACAAAAAAATGTATATTGTCATGGATTCACGGATGAACCAGGCTACTGCATAATCAAGTTTTGAGAAACACAGTGTGCCACCCTGGGGATTTAAAAAAAAAAAAAACAACAACTGACTGACCGACTGTCGAACTAGACACAGTTAAAAAAAAATGAAATTCTTCAATTTCACTCTTTTAAATACACTACATAAAAATCAAGCCTGCTTCTTTATATGATTTAACTGCCATGCTATATCTGTTAAAAAGTGTTAATGATGAGTAGAAAAACCATTAAAATCATGGCTATCCTGACCTATTTTAGTTTGAATACTTGATTCTTTGGGGAGCCTTAATAAAAATCATTTTATTACATTATTTTTTGAGCCTTAATAAAAGTCATAGTATAACTACCAACTGAAAGTTGAAAATCAAGTTGAGTTTTGCATCCGCATTCTACTAAGGAAAGTAATGTTTAAACCTGATATTAACCTTCAATGGGAAGCTAAAGAATGGCTCAGATAGATTTCTTCAACCTTTTCTAAATTAAAATAGTTTTAGTTCTACCAAATGACTGCCAACCTTTTCATGCCTATCCACATACCTGGACACCCCTGAGTTGAATGTAGTCAAATATAAACCATGCCAGGCAATGACACATGAAAAATACCATAATATCCCATCTGAATACATGGTGGGCTGCCCATCCGATAATTAAACTGGCAACAAAGCACTCTGAAATTGGCTCACAAATTATTGTAGCAGGAAGCATGTTAATTCGCAATTTGGTCCACCTTAAAAAAAAAAAAAAGATATTCTTTAAACAACAGCTTGGTTACAAGACTAATCAATTTCCCCCCCAAATGATCAGCTCTTTACCCTATAATATAAAGGCCCTCTCTTTAAAGAGTATTTAATGAATTCCTTTTCTATTTTTATTCAGTATATATAAAAAAGTCTATAAATTCATTTGTATGGATTATAGAAGTCAAAATATAGAAAGTTAGAAAACAGAGATCAGCAAATTAAAGAAATCAAATTCTCAACATCTTTTTAATTCTTTTTTTTTTTTTTAAAGATTTTATTTATTTATTTGAGAGAGAGAGAAACAGCATGAGAGGGGAGAGGGTCAGAGGGAGAAGCAGGCTCCCCGCTGAGCCGGGAGCCCGATGTGGGACTCGATCCCAGGACTCCGGGACCATGACCTGAGCCGAAGGCAGTCGCCCAACCAACTGAGCCACCCAGGCGCCCCTTTTTTTTTTGTTTAAAGATTTTATTTATTTGACAGAGAGAGACAAAGCAAGAGAAGGAACACAAGCAGGGGGAAGGGCAGAGGGAGAAGCAGGCTTCCCACTGAGCAGGGAACCCAATGCGGGGCTTGATCCCAGGACCCTGGGATCATGACCTGAGCCGAAGGCAGACGCTTAACTGAGCCACCCAGGCACCCCTCTTTTTAAAAACTCTTTATTTAAATTCAACTTAGTTAAATATACTGTATTACTGGTTTCAGAGGTAGAATTTAGTGATTCATCAGTTACATTTAACACCCAGTGCTCATTACATCATGTGCCCTCCTTAATGTCCATCACCCAGTTACCCCACCCCCCACCCACCTCAACATCTCTTTATTGAATGCTTCCAGGGTTACACAGCAAAGAAAATGTATTTATACAATAAATTTATTTTAATAATGATGTTAAACTCTCTTTTCTGGAACTAAGCAAAATTTGACTTTTAGATATTTTAAATACCAAGTTAGACCATGTAAAAATTACTCCCCCCACCCTTTTTCTTTTAACCAAGTATAAAAAGAAAAAAACCAGCTGATTTACCTGATCATTCTGGATTGAAACTGGGAAATTGAGTAAGAGCCAGAGTTTTGCATTGCAACCTGAGTGGACATCGCAAACCTCCAGCCTCTGAAAATTAAGACAATTATAAAATGTACTATGTTGATGATGAACACATACAGGCATGACTGACTATGCATTTACTCATCACTATAAAGAGGAAGCAACTGTTGGGTGTTCAGGGGGAGCCTAGTTCTCAGGATTAGCACCCTACTTGGGGTGTATCATACTTATGGATATTTTAGCAATTACACAGGCCCATGACAGTACCATCTACAGCTGGAAGGAACTACAACCCCTCCGTTTACAGTTTAAGAACTTAAAATACAGACATTCTGAAAGTACTAAGTGGAGTGGGTTCTGTATTTCATAGTTTAGTCCCTGATCACTACTAAACAAAACCAAAACCAAAAAACCACCAGCTCAAATGGGGGGGTGGGGGGGTGGGAGATACATGTGATACGTGCGTATCAACAAGATATCCACATGTTGTGGATATTCAACAAGAAATGCAAACAAAATGCAGCATTATGTATCTCATGGGAAACACTATGAAACTATGAGCCACATGAATAACATCATGAAAGAATTTTAAAAGCATACCTCAATTTTTAAAATCTTATCTTTAGTAAATTATCACACAAGGCAATGAAAACCCTTTTAAAAGCAAACAAGTATTTTGTGACAGAGAAATGTTATTAAGTCATTCTGTGAATCGTTAGGTGGCTTCATAGCAAAGCACCAAATAATCTACTGAGAAATTCCAAAATGCGAAATCATATTCTTTAAATTTTCACCTGCTGGCTTATGACTGCACTAATATTTTTAATTCTTCTAAAACACATAGAAATTTACATCTATAATAATGTAAATTTATAATCACAGAGAAGCTTCTTTTAATGTCAAACCACGTTAAAGAATCTAAAAGAATCAGAACACTTATTTTCCTCACTTATTTCTTTCATAATGTATCTATGAATAATAGGAATTACTTTGTAAAATATTAACCTATTCTGTACTCACCAGCAAGAAATAAAATAGCCCCAAACCCATGGGTTTAAAAAATACAATAAACCAACAGGAGTTGGTTTAAGACTACTACAGCCTGATGTCATTTCGTTTGCTTACCGGTCAGCTATGGCTTTGGCCATAAAGTAATCTTCAGCAATGTACTGAGCAAAAGCTATAAGCCCTCCTGCTTGATCTAAAACATCCTTTCTCATTAAACAAGACATTCCCGTCACACATTTGAAACCAGTTACATTGGCAGAGATATATGACCTTGGATGAGAAGTTCCAAAATATACCTGCCAAAACAAAAGAACATTTATGTGTAATTAGAATGTTATGTTAAAAGTATGGTATTTATAAACATTTTTTTTTTCCTAATGAACCTCCTTTAAGTATGACTGAGTATCTTATTATTCTTATATAATTACCTGAATAAAAGTTATTACAAAATAACATTTACATGTAGCGGGCAATCAGTAATTTCTTATTTGATTGACTATTCTATTTTTTTTTTTTCAAGATTTATTTATTTTAGAGAGAGCGAGAGAGAGAGCATGTGAGCAGGGGGCAGGGGCAGAGGGAGAGAGACTCTCAAGCGGACTGCACTGAGCGAGGAGCCCAATGTGGGGCTCGATCCCACGACCATGAGATCATGACCTGAGCCGAAACCAAGAGTCAGACGCTCAACCAACTGTGCCACCCAGATGCCCCTAGATTGACTATTCTTGTTACCACTATTACAAAGAAAAATATACTTCTGGGAAAAAAAAAAGTGTATTCTATTCTCAGATAAATATTGTGTTCCATAAAGCTGCAAGATTCAAAGATTATCCAAATAAAACGTAACTGGGATATAAAATAAATTAGGTAAAAATATCATTCACTGACATGTCAAATATTAACAAATATTTTACATAGCCTACTATCAAATGTTCGTGTAATGACACACACACACACCTACATATACAAGTGTATGTACGTGAATGTACATGTGTACTCACACATGCATACATACATACAAACACCACCCATAGGTGTATCAACCTACAGGACAATCCTATTTTAATTCCTTTCATAGCTAGCCGCTTCCTGCCCAAGTCACTGAGCTTTTTCCCCGAGTTCCCCAATGTTATTTTTCAATGTATTTTTCATAAAGAGGGTAGATACTAAAATTCTGTCTCCCATTTTACTGCCCCTTTCCCTAGATATGCTTTGAAGTCATGAGCTATGCAAGTTGCTAAATTAGTGGTAGAATAAAATGGTCATCACCCTATTAGACATAAAACATTATTATTTACATCTGAGATATGCTGCCTTTTCCAATTAGCTTGAGAGGAGAACGGTGATTTTTCTCAATGGCAGGAGTTATGCACACAGCGTGGAACAAGAGAATTATCAGGGGTGATGAAGAAGAGGATTCTTGCTACCTACCCTATGTCCAGACTTCAATGAAGCTTTGATGTTTGTGGGACTGAACTGAACCAAATATATAAGACCAGAAGCACACATCTTAATTCCTTAAGCAGTTATTATGTGGGGCTTTAAGAATGAGGTGTAAATAGGGACTATGTCAACGGCTCCCAGGATTTCTTTACAGACTTGAAACAATCCCTCTATTTCCATTCACTCTAAGTACGGCAAAAGGGGCCTTTAAGGATTAAATTTAACCTAAGGGACTGACCGTGATCTAGAAGATGTGGTATACCACTGCCATATACATCAACTTGGATATTTCTAAAACAAAAATACAATGTGGCATATAAGAATAAAAAGTATTTTATTTTAAAGTAGCGGCTCAGAGTTTTTCTTAATAAACAAAAACTCCACTATTTAAAGATTTAACAATTTCTTGCAATAGGACAAATATATTCATAGGCAATATTAAGAGCTCATAGCTCAAATTGCCAAAGGTTAAATTCCACTCACAATGTGCCTTTACCCCCTTAGATCTGTGGTAATCACAAGACTGAAATACAAAATAATATAAGTGCAGATATGCTTAAAAGCAATTTGATATATTTAGAAGACTACAACCGTATATCCTTCCCTGATGACATTAAGGCAAGTTTTTCTTCCCAAATGTGTAACAGCACAGGAATGGTTAAATCAAGTATAGAACATACATATGATAGACTGTGACACAGCCCATAAAAATTAATAACTTTCTAAAAAGTTATTAATGATATGGAGAAAAGCTAATGAAGTGACAAAAGTCAACTTATTTTTTAAAAGCACATAGAAAAAAATAGAAACTTCCTCTAATAGGTAGGGTTATGGGTTGTTTTTTATTTTTGCTTCTTTTATTTTTCTAAAATTTATAGTTTATATTTCTGTTATAGGGTGAAGAGAAAAAAAAAAAGGAAAACCCAAAGTAAGTTTCTCAGGTAACTTTTAGAAATCTGTTTTTAAAGGAAATCAAACAGGGGTGCCTGGGTGGCTCAGTTGGTTAAGCGCCTGTCTTTGGTTCAGATCATGACCTCGGGGTCCTGAGATCAAGGGTCCCCCCCATGTCAGGCTTTCCTGCTCAGCGGGGAGTCTGCTTCTCCCTCTTTCTCTCCCTCTGCGCCCCACCCCCAGCCAAGCTCCAGAACGCTCTCCCCTCTCAAATTAAAAAAAAAAAAAAAAAACTTTAAAAAAAGTAGGACATCAAATGGATTTTATAATGATTTGTATGAATAATTTTCCCTTTTTTGTATATTTAAAATACTCTGGGGATGCCTGGGTGGCTCACTTGGTTGAGCATCTGCCTTCGGCTCAGGTCATGATCCCAGCGTCCTGGGATTGAGTCCCACATCAGGCTCCCTGCTCAGCGGGCAGCCTGTTTCTTCCTCTGCCTGCCGTTCCCCCTGCTTGTACACACTCTCTCTCTGACAAATAAATAAAATCTTTAAAAACTAAAATATTCTGTGATATTTAAAAAAGATTCTTTTCAGACTGGATCTCTGAAAGAATTATATGCCATGTGCTTTTATGTAAATCAGTAGTCTAGAACCTAACTCTAGATCTGAGAGCGAGAGCCCTAAGGAGAAAGAATACACTCTGTTCAGCTGGTGACGAGACCGTAAGAGGTTTCCTGTGCATATTCCTTCTCTGCCAGAGGGCAGTTAAGTTCAGCTGTGAGTGATTCCAGGGGCCCAAAAATGTCTTCACTAATAAAACAACTACTCTCATCTTGAGGATGTCAGCACCTAGCAGGTTAAAACAGACTTAATCACAGTTAACTTCGGGTAGCTCATCCCAACTCTCAGACTTAAACTAGTCTCAGGTTTCTGGTAGATGAGGGATGTGACAATAGGAATATTACATATGACCACCATACTTACCTGTTCTAATGTGGCGGCAAAGCCCTGTCTGTCTGCTACATAAGGCAGACCATGAACCAGGCCTACTTTCTCTGTCATTTGGTTAACCATGTCAGTGAGTGTGTCTGGAATTACTACAATGAAAAAAACAAAAAGGTGGCAAGGGAGAGAGAGAAAAAAAATTTTTAGTAAAGTGCCCACTAATGTGAAACATATTTTGTGAGCTATTATCCTTTTTTTATATTTGGATCTAATAGAATCATTCTCAATCACTTTTCTAAGAATACACATCTCAAAAAAGGTATAATACATGATAAGCTAATTTACACGATACATTTTCAGGCTAATAAATACCTAACATGTACCAGAGACAGGATATACCTTGAAAATGTTACTCTCCCTGTTTCAGAACCTCCAAACTGGACTAGAGACAGTATGTCCTAAAAGAAAAGGTACAGGAGCAGAGCTCTAAAGGACCTCGGTCCTTTAGCATTCTCTAACTATAGGAAATGAGCCTCCACTTTCTTAGAGGGTATGAGATATCCTATCTCCTAAAACCGCTAATGCTAATGCGAACTGAATGGGATGATACTTGACAGAGATGTGTACATGTTATGAAAACGTAACAAATATTTGAGAAAAACAACTGAACATAGCAAACACGAAGAATGAACATAATCTCTGACCACGAACTGAGAGATCTGTAATGATCCTGATTAATTAGGCATGCCACACTTCTATTAGTTTCAAATCTGCATTTTAAGCTAATAAAAAAATTTAAATCACTGTCCCCTCTTCAAATAGCAAACATCTCATATCTTTTTACATGACTTTATTTTTATTTCCTTCAAGTCTTTCGAACGAAATCTACTCTATAAAGTGTACTTGGACCTTAAATACAGTGGTTCTCAACTGCTGCCCTGCAGGGGACATTTTGCAACGTCTAGAGACAGTTTTTGGTTGTCACAACCAAGAAAGAGGTGCGACTGGCATTCAGTGTGTAGAGGCCCGGGATACTCGCTAACCATCCCACAGGGCAGCCTCAGCAACAAAGAGCTATCCAGTCCAAAATGCTAAGGTCGAGAAACTTGTGGTAATTAGATATAAATATTTAAAAATGCAAAACTGCAAATTATAATTTCAGTATATAAACGCCTTCCTACTAAAATAAGCCATGTCTGTATTTTGGTAATACATTCACCTATTAATTTCTGTGAACTACATTTTGTGTGAGATAGTATATTGTTGGTGTCACAAACAGATCATGAACAAGGGAAAATTTACAACTATGAAAAATCTTATATAAGGGGCTGTAAAATGGACCATGACTATCTTTTTCTTAATAGCTGGAATTTTCTCTTTAAAGCAAAAATATTTTTATACATGTAACATTCTAGGTTAGCATTACAAAATTCCAAATCTTAGTAAGTGTAACTTGGCATTTTACCATGAAATAAGATGAAATAAATTACTTTGTTAGGCAAATAAAAAGGACTGACAAATATATTTTCAGACTGCTTTTGGCATTTTACCATCAAATGGATAGTTTTGTGAAATAAATAAAAAGAAGCTCACCTCTTATTCCACTATCACAAATCCATATCAGATCATACTTTGCAACTTCATATCCTGGCATTAAATTATTAATTTTAGGATTAATGCCAACTTTTTTGCCACCTAAAAATGTAAAGGTGCAACAGTGAAAAAGATTCATGCAATACTGAAAATATTTTCTATAATACAGATATAGGGTAGAGAGAAGTGAAAAGTACTTTCATACATAATAATTTAAACAAACATACTTTATCATTATGCTTAACATTCCTTATTATTCGTAACATTTAGAAAGAAATTGTTCATTCTCAAAGAGAATTAATTTCTTTGAAAACATTATTTTCAGTTTTTTAGTTCTTAAATGCATCAGTAGTAAGTATGAATCAATGTTTAATGGCAAATATCTCTCTACAAGTCTTCAGAATAAGCCTATAGGCTTTTGAAAAACATTAAAAAATATATATATATATTCTTTTTGCAATATCATAAGAGCAAATTCTATCGATCACTCCCAATTACAGTGAATGTGATATAGAAAAGCCCACAGATTGAAAATATTAAAGAAACAAAAAAACAGACTCTCATGTCTGATTGAGAAAACAGGGTAATGGGGGGGGGAGGGAGTAGGGGTTTTTTGTTGTTATTTTGTTAATCCCAGATATGAAAAAACCTGTGTTTTTAGAACTTAAGTTTTCTCAAAAGGATATAAACATATCCTATCACTACTCCAACATGCATAAAGCAAACACGCTAATAACTTCACTCTAGTTTAATACAAAGATTGCTGATACTTAATATTATTAAAGCAAAAGGATTATTGCAGAAGTAAGTTGTTACCTACCAATAAACAATCTAGCATCAACATTTGGGTATTTTCCAAGAAGCTTCTTACATACATCAATGGCTGGATCATCATGATCTTGTACACAAAGGAGGACTTCATACTAGTCAAAGAACACATTTTATGTAAATTAATCTCTTACAAAAATAAGCACATTATTAGTATTTGCTGACTGATAAAAAGGCGTTAGGAAAAACAAGCAATTGTACACACACAGTTTAAAAGTTAAGAGAGTACTCATAATGGATGCAAACACTTATGGTATCAAGTGTTGCTTTAATTGAGCGCAGCTTCCCCCTGAACAGGGGCCTATTTGCAAGCAGAAGAGATCATGAAGGGCCTGGCAGCCCTCACAGCTGAGGGCCATTCCCAGATAGGCATGACCTGGTAATTAAACTGGATCTCAAGCTTCTCTGTGGCTCCGAAGCTTTACCAAATACTCACAGGGTGCCCAGCAGTGTAAACGCAACATAGAAAGCAAAATAAACACCCCCTCTGTTCTCTAGAAGCTTGGTCTCTGAATTTATCATTTCATGAAGGTGCTATCAGTTACGTATCAATTCCCCTTATGATCAATTTAAAGCACTTTCCCAAACTCTTCGCATGAAAAGGACAAAGGGAGTTTAGATTTTTGCTGTATAGTAATTTCTGAAATAAAATAGAATTTGACTAAAAATCTATCATCCTGAAAAGCACGGTTAGCCTTTTAACAATGAAAATACCCAGGGTTCTATTCTGCTCAGTAGGTTAGGAAGTCATTTCTTTGCACTTGACTGGTTTGGTCCGTTACCCTGGGATATTTATTTAAAGAAGAGAATACTAGGCCCCACTCTGACTTTTGAATTAGAACTCACGGGGTGATTCTGACATATAACCAGGTTTATAAAATCTTGAGCTAAACTTTAAGTTACCAATTAGTAAACTACTAAATTTTTAAAAAGTATCTGCTTTCACATACAAAGATGCTACTTCAATATTTTATGGGGTATTCTAAGTAGTAATTTCTTTTTCCAGAAGTGCTGCTAAATTCATGCTGACTCTGCAACAAATTTCCTACCAATCTTTTTCTAAAATGGGGTTGGCATTTTTAAGCAAAGGAGGGAGGTTAATTATGTCCATGAAAAAAATAACAAATCCATGGGTCCTAAAAAATAAAAAGAACTAAAGACATAACTTTTTAAGTGTCTAACATACAGGGACTAGCCCACGTAAAGGGGAAACTCAGCAAAAACTGGCAATATGGAAATTGGTGGCTGAGTATGAAAAGGGGCCAGGACTAAGGTCAAAGAAGGAGGTAATACGATTTTTTAAGTGCAAAAAAAAAAAAAAAAAGTTTTCTCAATAATTAAGTAGAGGGGAAAACAATGTATACTTCCCTCATACTTTCCACCTATTATTAGCATACATTCTATCAACTATCTACCTTTAATAATGACTGACCAAAATTGCCACTCAGGAGGTATCAAAACCAACTTTACAACTACCCAGTCTTCAGGGACCAGATAAAAATCGGAGGATGGGAAGGACACCACTCTGGCCCACACCCTTGAATTTCCCAAAGGGTTGACTCTTAGGTCCTATAAAGCATCAGTCATCCTTGCAACCTGACTCTCAAAACAATGTTTGGCTGAACCAGCCAAAAGGTACTGACCTTAACAATGAAGATCAGAAAGATTAAGTGACCTTCCAAAGGGTAAAAGTAACAACTGGCTTCCCTACTAGAGCAAGCTGTTCAGCCAGGCTTGTGGTAAAGAATTCCTTGTTTTTCCAAACACCGCATGGTTTCTTTAATGCTTTTATAATTTATGTTGTTTTGCAGGTATGAGCGAATACAGTGAAAGGGATATTCATAAGTGATATAATTCCATAAAATATAATGAAAAAACTTTGTAAAATATATGTTCTAGAAATGATTTCAAAGGAGGCAGAGTTTACCTTTCTTCAAATGCAAGATTTAAAATTTTTATTTTAGGGGCACCTGGGTGGCTCAGTCAGTTGTGTTCAACTCTTCATTTCGGCTCAGGTCATGCTCTCAGGGTCCTGAGAGCTGGAGTTCCACATGGGGCTCCCTGCTCAGCAGGGAGTCCGCTTGAGATTTTCTCTCTCCCTCTGCCCCTCCCCCCGCTTGTACTCTCTAAAATAAATACTTCAAAAAATTAAAGTTTTTATTTTTATTGATTATACCTCTTAAACTTAATTTTAAACAAAAATCAAAAACCTCCTGATTAGCCAGGGTACAAATAAAACTCAATTCACATTATCTAAAAAACGTTAAGACTCTTATTAAAAAAAACATAACTTTTGCTTGTTTCTGAAATTGAAAATGAAAATCATACCAAATAGGAGGTAAGCATTTCACGTATTTCCTAAAGTATGAGATTTTAACCAGGTGTTCGTTTTTTAGCTGTGATAATCACCTGTGTCTTCAGTTTGATCAAACATTTTATTTGCTAGGAATCTCTATTAGAATAGTTAAGTCACTCCAACTACCCTGCAACTGGCAAAACACAACATTATCAAATTGGTTAAAGGCTTTCTTAGTTAATACAAAAAAAATTTCTGAAATGTTTTTTAAAGACTGTGTTTATTTACTTATTTAGACAGAGAGTGCATGAGTTGGCGGGGGGCGGGGGCAGAGGAACAGAGGGAGAGGGACAAGCGGACTCTGCGCAGAGCCCAATGTGGGCTGGATCTCACGACCCTGAGATCATGACCTGAGCTGAAATCAAGAGGTGGAGGCTTAACTGAGCCACCAAGGTGCCCCTGGATATTTTTATATTATCTTAAGGATCGGACATAAGTATATATGTTCAAAAACATAATGTTTATTAAAAATATTACACTTTAAAAATATTTCAAGATAACATTTACTTTATAAATCTGAAAGGGCTACAAGATATAGTGAATTCCATTATAAATCGGTGTATTATGAATACATAAAGTCTAGAAATAAACCCCAGAGTAGTTTAGATAAGAAGGTTAGTGTTCCACAACTCTTTGGTAAGGTTACTATACAAATAGCTAAACTGGCTAATTTTCCCTTTTTCTTTTCAAACAGTGCAATGACTGAAAGGCTGAGAACAAGAGAGGTGTAGGAAATCCACAAACTGAGATTCAGCCCTTTGATATTTAAGAACTGAATATCTGAAACAGCAATAATGAATGCTACTTTTCAGTTTTTACAAATAAATTCAGATGCATACATAATATTAGATTTAGGTATATAAATAACATTAGAAAAACCTCACTGATAAACTTTGCACTATAGCAAACAAAATAAAACATCCTCTTAAAATAGAAAACTGTTTTAATGATATTAATCAATCATATTGCATATCAAGTAGAAATATCTTGAACTATTCTATAAATAACTACACATTTTTACAGAAAAATTTTATGATGATATTTGGATGACAGCAGAATATGAATTTTCTATAACAGAACAGATTTAAACCACAAATGCCTAGAACATTCTCTGGCATGGAGTGATTAATACACTTGTTAAGTTAATGCATTTATCCTTAGGATAACTTCTGAGTGAAAGACAGATGCCAGGAAGGAGATGTTTCATAAGAACACAGCTCTGAATTCAAAGTTTGGACAAGTAATATTACATACTTCTCTATTTTCAAGAAATTGTCTATACAGTTTTCCAAATTTACTTGGCAAATTCCTATCTTGCAGATTCACCACATATATTGTGCTTGGTCTTTTGATAATGGATTCGATTTTCTGTCTTCTCTAATTCTTTGTTTAGATCCTGTTAAGGGTAACTACACTACCAGCAAGAAAGAGTTCAAACATGGCACCGGACTTGCAACATTTTAAACCAATTCTGTATTTGCAAAAAAGACAAAAAACCCACCATTATTACCACAGCCTCACTCTGGTAATAACTCTGATCATTTAATTTAAAAACTCTTCATATGGCCAGAATTTACTAACATAAAGCTGTCAAGCCATTTGAGACATTGCTGCATCTTCCCTCCGCAGCTAAATCTCTCCCTAAAACGCCGTCTATGCTGACACCAAGCTGAGTGCTCAATTTTGCGGAAAATGAATTGTATGGCTTTTTCATTATTTTTTTCCCCCAAGGAATAAATATCAAAGTAAGTGGAGGAGTGCCTGGGTGGCTCAGTCCATTGGGCGGCTGCCTTCGGCTCTGGTCGTGATCCCGGCGTCCTGGGATAGAGTCCCGTGTGGGGCTCCTTGCTCAGCGGGGAGTCTGCTTCTCCCTCTCCCTCTGCTGCTGCTCCCCCTGCTTGTGCTCACGCTCTCTCTCTCAAATAAATAAAATCTTAAAAAAAAAAAAAAAGAAAGAAAAAGTGGATTGGGGCTCCTGAGTGACACAGATGGTTAAGTGTCCCAACTCTTGGTTTTGGCTCAGGTCGCAATCTTGGGGTCCTGGGATGGGGCCCCAAGTCAGGCTTCGAGCTCAGTGCAGAGTCTGCTTAATAAGACTTCCTCTCCCTCTGTCCCCCACCCCCCGGTCCATGTGTTCTCTCTCTCAAATAAATAAAATCTTAAAAAAAAACCAAAAAACCCAAAATAAGTGGATTGACAAGATATGTAAAGTACAGAAATCTTTCAGGGCAATTAGTATAGTAACGATTCTCACCAAAATTTAAACCCAGAAATTCAGAACAAGTACCAGCAGTAAATCTTGCATGTGTCCAAAATTAAATAAAATTTCTGAACTTCAACATGTTCTTTTTCCAGAATGGTCTATAATGTTCGGAATCAAATCAGGAGGAAAACCTTATGTCCAGAATGAAACTGGACATACTTCTGGAAAACAATGTTCACACTCGAAAAAAAGCCAACAGTAAAGTCTGCTGGGCCTGGCAGTCACACAGATGTCCCTTTCAGGACTACATGCCTCATGGGTGACATAAGCAACTTGTCTGTTCACACTTAGATTTGTGGAATTTCAGCAGTTTAACTTCAGTTTCTTGTGGAACATTTGCCACTGGGCTTGGTCTTTTAAAAAGCCAATAAAATGCTAGGAGGTCCAAGGTTTCCTTTAGATTGCAGGTCCCTAGCACTTTCCCTCCACTTTCTATATTTTCTATTTACACAGCTAACAAACAGTACTTTTATAATTAGTAAAGTTCTGAAAAAAGAATAAAAACAATCTCTTATATATGTGGTTCCTCATTTTATAAGTATCAAAACAGCTTTCTCCACAATACCTCAATGACGTAAGTGCAAAAAGAAGCAAAAACTAGAGCTCTTGAGATAATTTCAAATTGTAATAAAAAAAAAATCTTCATTCATTCAGAAGAAAACAATTATTGATTTGTCCCAAATGTTCAGGATTAATGGATACATATGTTCCTGGGTTATTTTTAGAAACTCTTTCTACAACTAAAACCCACACTAACTTCCGCAACCAATTCAATTCCATCATCTCCCAAGGACCCAACCTAAAAGTTCCATAACTAAGTTCTGAGAGTGGGTGAATGGGGATAGGGTGGGATGATTAAACAATTAAAATGTGACATCAAGTTTCACAAGGATAAATGCATGATTCTAGCTTAATAATAATCAATGAAATATTTAATAATAATGAGATTTAATTACCAATGAAAATATTCATTAAAAAATTCTCTTTGCATTTACTTACATAATGTGAGGTTTGAAAACCTTCCATTTTTCTAATTAATTTTATTTGTATCATTCTTCCTAAATTACAAAAGTACACTTTTTGCACTTTTAGTTTAAAAACATCAAGTATGTATCTTATTTTTTAAAAATTGCATATTCAATTTATTGGATACATACTGCGTGCATACACACACACACACACACACACACAGACTAGAAGAAAAATACATGACTGTTTTGCTTCAAATTAGCTTCAAATACCCACTTCCAAACTTTAAAAGCACTAATATAAAAACAACACTAAAAAATAACCAATTATACTCGTGTCCACATACTTAATAAGAGGTGTATTAAGGCTATTACATCTGTGTCTTCTCTATTCTTTTCATTGATGCTACCGAGAAAAATACGGGCTGAAAGAAAAGAAATAAAGAGTGTCACCCTAAGAAATGTGGTGTGTATTGTTTTCCTTCTCACAACCTGAGATACACTGCCCTAAAGAAATAGGAGGGGAAGGGTCTCCAAGTGGCAAAAACTATGGACAAACTGGACAGTCAGTGTAAAAACTGACACAAGACCTTGGAGGAAAATTCAAGGGACTGAATGATCAAGCAGGTAGAAATGTAAAGACACATTCAAAAGCGGTGTTTCAAAGAGGCAATTTAAAAAGCTGCAATAAAGCTAGATACATAAATCTCTTGATTTAGTAAGTTCTCCTAAGAAACTACAGGTGGAATATTAAAGGGAAGAGATAAAAAGAATACTGTCATCTCAAGAAAACCGGGAGTTCGCCAAAGGAGTACGTTGAGTTCACAGATCTACAGACTGTATAGATAAATGATACGAACAATACAATTAGGCATTAAAACCCAGAAAGATAAAGAAATTAGAAATTAGGTATGAGGAAGCCCCATCTTACTGCTAACTGTAACCTATTCTTGGCTCAAAAGCCAGATTTCTCAAGGGAATTTACGTTTACTTCTAGCTCTCTCGAATCTCATTTCAGACCACTAAACACTGTTTTTTCTTTCGCACTGCCTTTTCCTCCTGTCGTTCACATACAACTCTCATGGAACAAGATTTTTATATTCAAACTATCAGGGACTTAACAGTGTCTGAGTTCCAGGAGGTCTACTCTGGGATTTCTAATTCAGATGGACATGCAGGTGGTTACAAGGTTACAGAAGGAATCCGCACCCCTTCCTCAACCCCAATTCTGTCCTGTAACTGCTGCTATTGCAGCATCATTGTATGAGGCCAACATCATCATGCGTTTTTTTAATACCTCTACCTTTTACAGTCAAAATGCCTCTTTAAGGGTTTACCATGAGAGAAAAGAAAAAAAGAAAGAAAGAAAGAAAGAAAAGAAGAAAAGCTCTCACCCATTCCTAATGAGTACAAGGCTGTACTTACTTTGGGGTAATCCAATTCGAAGAATGTCTCCAAGTTGTTGATTAGGTTAGGATCTACCCCTTTCAGGGGCTTCAGAAGAGACACGCCTGGGAGCTTGCTATACGGCTGTTTGTCCGTTGCCTTCTTGTTGAGGTGTAATCGGCTAAAAAGCAAATGATGTTTACGTCATTTCTGCAGAACACATTAGTGCCAAATCTGTATAAAGTATGTGTTAAGCTATCAAGAAATTACTAAATTCTAAGTTTTAAAAAGCTATCTGAAAATGAAGGGATGTAACCAAATAAGCATCCAGTTTAGGAAAACCAGAACTAAGCAGAACGAATGTTCCAGTGAAGGCTGGAGCTGAAGACTGTTGTTTATGGCTGTAGTCTCAGTGCTTAGAGAACCATGCCCAGCAGAGAGGAGGCATTCAATAAATACATGGTGAAGAAATGAATTACAGTGTTAGCCCACATATTAACCACCCTTCCTCCCAAACTGCCATCACTGTAGACCAAGAACTATAACAACAGTGGGAGGAATCCCTATCTTCCCCAGAAAGAGAGAAATATAACCAGAAAAATCTGAGAAATTTCTATAATAAGCAGTCCACACAGCACACGACTGAAAGTACTACACTCCTGAGCGGCAAGCAAGAAAATGGGATAACTAGCAGAACTCCTGATATACACAAGATCAGAATGGCAGTGATGGGACAGAAGGAATTTGAAAGTAAGAAAAAGAAAAAATCTCACTGATAAGAAAAATGTCTATTAATGCCATTGGAAGATAACCAGTGCCACCAACACACAGATAAGTTAGCCGTTGTTCTCAAGCCAATTAGTGAGAGAATTTGCCCCGGTTAATGTTCGTGGTGTGACCACAAAGAGAAGAGATGCCTTTCAGCAGAGTGGTGATGTTTCTATTTTTTTTTTTTTAAAGACCTTATTTATTTGACAGAGACACAGCGAAAGAGGGAACACAAGCAGGGGGAGTGGGAGAGGGAGAAGCAGGCTTTCCGCGGAGCAGGGAGCCCAATGAGGGGCTCGATCCCAGGACCCCGGGATCATGACCTGAGCCGAAGGCAGACGCTTAATGACTGAGCCACCCAGGCGCCCCGAGGGGTGATGTTTCTAAAAGAAGTCACTGAAGTCTTTCCTCCTTCTCATAAGCAAGTCTCCAAGCACTCAACAGTAATTAGAGGTTAGAACAATCACGGGACCATGCACAGATATTTTAAGACACACCTTCTTCCACATTTTAACATCTCTGAAATCGATGGCGTCTTAACAATTGGTGGCATCCAGTGGCAGTCCTAAATTAGTAGCATGAAAACCAACCAATGAAACCTTCTAGAAGATCAAGAAAACACCAGCATCAATGCATCTTTGATTCCATGAAATACACTATTAATCTATGAATGACTTCTGAAAGTACACCACTAACAGCATGCAGAGCAGTTAGCCATGGGCTCAGGTTCAACTAATTAAAGGCTGGGATGTGCCACAGCGGAATATCTAATGTTTCAGATAAGGCCGCAAAACATTTTACAGAAAGAAAACAGGTTACCTACAACGGAAAAAATTTAAACCAGTAAGAGATTTTTTAAAGAACAAGATTGTATCAATATCCGATCTACAGCCCCCAAATACCGGAGAATAATGGGGTACCATTTCCGGTAGTGCCACTTGGTGTGGTTAGTGCATAACTTGCTTTTTTACTGGTCTGCGATAAGAAGAAATGGAGAGAAAGCGTTTAGAAACAGTTACAGCAATTTGACATTTCCATGCCATCCAAGCATGTGATCAGTATTTATTTTTATTGTAGTCTACCAAAGTATCAGTCCATGCCAGACTGGAAATATTTTAAAGAGCTGATCCTCTGCCATAGATAGTTTGGAAAATATTCATCTAGCAAGTTCATCGAGAGGCTGACCAGAGGTAAAACCATGATCTAAAATTTATATAACCACTGGGGCACATGGGTGGCTCAGTTGGTTAAGCGTCCGACTCTTGATTCTGGCTCAGAGGTCATGACCTCAGGGTCATGGGATTGAGCCTGCACTGAGTCTGGTGCCTGCTTAGGATTCTCTCTCCCTCTTCCCCACCCCCCATGCACACGTATGCATTCTCTTTCTCTCTCTCTCTCTAAAAAAAATAAAATAAGGAGTGCCTAAGCGGCTCAGTCTGTTAAGCATCCGACTCTTGATTTTGGCTCAGGTCATGATCTTGGATTGTGAGATTGAGCCCTGCATGGGGCTGAGCATGGAACCTGCTTAAGATTCTCTTTCTCTCCCCCAACACGCCCCTCCCCCCGCCACTCTCAGATGCGTGCATTCTCTCTCTAAAAAAAAATAATAAAAATAAAATAAAACAAAATTTATATGACCACTATTCCATACCTAACAAAATGGTAGACTAGATGTCTGGAGAAACCTATCCAATACAGAACATACAGACTGCTGGAGAAAAAAAGTTTATATATTTAATTGATTGACAGTAATATCCACATGGTTCAAATCACTGAAGATATTAAACACAAAAGAAGTCTCCCTGTCATCCCTGCCCCCCATTCTCAGCATTATTAGTTTCTTACTCATCCTTCCAGAGACTTTTTAAAAATGCATATACAAGCCAACACACATGCACAAATTCTTACATATTTATAATGTTTAACATAGATGCATTAAAAGCTTGTTTTAAAATACATAACTGAACTGTTAGGAAAATAAATGAAACCTCCCAGGTCAGAAACAAGGAGAAATCTCTGAGTGAGGGAATGCTGACTGGCCCCAGGGACATCTGTTGGTGGAGACAAGCCTGAGACAAGAATGAGGGAACTCTGTTCTGTCCACTGTGTATAAATATGGCATCTCTGAAAGGCAAAGTAGAAAAATGCTGACCCACGGTGGGAAGATGGGGATGCTCCCTTCTTGGATTCACTCCTGAATGAAGTGGAATAAAAGGAAAAAAGTCTTCCAAGAGAACACCCAAACACATGGGTTTGGAACCCATAATGCAAACTACCTGTGATGCTTGAACAAAACCCAAGGGAAATAAAAAAATCATAATCACTGACACTAGAAACTCAATAGACAAGTAGGACAAAAGAATGCATATACAGTTTAAAAGAGAACTGGAGAACTGGAATCTAGATTTGAAGAAATTATTCAGGATGTGGCACAGAGAGAATGGGATGGAAAGACACTGAAATCATGGAACAGTTTGAGACATGGGAGGATAAAACAAGAAGGCCTGATATCCCAGGAATTTTTTCATCTCTTCCCACTCCATGATCTTTAAGTGCTATTAAACTTATCAAAACTTGCACGAGGTCATGCCAATACAGAGAAACCCAGACCACTAACCCATTGATTTTGGCAAGTCTTTAGATTAAAAACAATAAGGATAACTTAAACAGTGTTAAACAGTCTAGTATTGATTCTATTCCCCCCCTTCCCTTCTTCTTTATTAAGACATTTTAGTTTAAGACACATAGATCAATGGAATAGAATAGAGAGCCCAGAAATGGGACCCTCAACTCTGTGGTCAACTAATCTTCGACAAAGTAGGAAAGAATGTCCAATGGCAAAAAGACAGTCTCTTCAACAAATGGTGTTGGGAAAATTGGACGGCCACATGCAGAAGAATGAAACTGGACCATTTCCTTATACCACACACACAAACAAAGACTCAAAATGGTTGAAAGACCTAAATGTGAGACAGGAATCCATCAAAATCCTAAAGGAGAACACAGGCAGCAACCTCTTTGACCTCAGCCGCAGCAACTTCTTCCTAGAAACATCACCAAAGGCAAGGGAAGCAAGGGCAAAAATGAACTACTGGGACTTCATCAAGATAAAAAGCTTTTGCACAGCAAAAGAAACAGTCAACAAAACCAAAAGACAACCGACAGAATGGGAGAAGATATTTGCAAATGACATATCAGATAAAGGGCTAGTATCCAAAATCTATAAAGAACTTATTAAACTCAACACCCAAAGAACAAATGATCCAATCAAGAAATGGGCAGAAGACATGAACAGACATTTTTCCAAAGAAGACATCCAAAGGGCCAACAGACACATGAAAAAGTGCTCAACATCGCTTGGCATCAGGGAAATCCAAATCAAAACCTCAATGAGATAACACCTCACACCAGTCAGAATGGCTAAAATTAACAAGTCAGGAAACGACAGATGTTCGCGGGGATGCGGAGAAAGGGGAACCCTCCTACACTGTTGGTGGGAATGCAAGCTGGTGCAGCCACTCTGGAAAACAGTATGGAGGTCCCTCAAAAAGTTGAAAATAGAGCTACCATATGACCCAGCAATTGCACTACTGGGTATTTACCCCAAAGATACAAAGGTAGGGATCCGAAGGGGTACGTGCACCCCAATGTTTATAGCAACAATGTCCACAATAGCCAAACTGTGGAAAGAGCCAAGATGTCCATCGACAGATGAATGGATAAAGAAGATGTGGTATATATATACAATGGAATATTATGCAGCCATCAAAAGGAATGAGATCTTGCCATTTGCAAAGATGTGGATGGAACTGGAGGGTATTATGCTGAGCGAAATAAGTCAATCAGAGAAAGGCATGTATCATATGACCTCACTGATATGAGGAATTCTTAATCTCAGGAAACAAACTGAGGGTTGCTGGAGTGGGGGGTGGCGTGGGTGGGATGGGGTGGCTGGGTGATAGACATTGGGGAGGGTATGTGCTATGGTGAGTGCTGTGAATTGTGTAAGACTGTTGAATCACAGACCTGTACCTCTGAAACAAATAATACATTATATGTTAAAAAAAAAGAAGATAGCAGGAAGGGAAGAATGAAGGGGGGGAATCGGAGGGGGAGACGAACCATAGGAGACTATGGACTTTGAGAAACAAACTGAGGGTTCTAGAGGGGAGGGGGGTGGGGGGATGGGTTAGCCTGGTGATGGGTATTAAAGAGGGCACGTACCGCATGGAGCACTGGGTGTTGTACGCAAACAATGAATCATGGAACACTACATCAAAAACTAAGGATGTAACGTATGGTGATAAATACAACATAAAAAAAAAGACATTTTAGTTTAAATGCTAATACAGATGTACCTTCTATCCTTTGGAGAGCTTTTCATATCAAGAATGCAGCATTTTATCAGACACA